TAGAAAGTAATATAATATATAAAAATAACATGAAATATTATAAAAGTTTAAATTATAATTAAAAATAAAATAAAATAAAATAAAATAAAATACTTGTCTAATTTATTTAAGTTAATGTTTAAATTTTGTAATTAAAGATAAGAGTTGTAACATTTATTAGTAAAGAGTTTAGATGGGCTTTGTCATCAAAAGTATGAAATTTGATTTCCAGGTCATTTCATGTAGGTAGATAAGGTGAGTGATAAAAGACTTTATTTTCATTAGTTGGAAGTCATGCCTAATACACTTCAAGAGGTTGTCTGAGACTACATTGGAATTTGGAACCATTTAGGGCAGCCTATTCAAGGCAACATAGATCATTCAAGGTAAGGCAATCTATTCAAAGTTTGGAGGTTGGATTCAAAAAGCTTGTGTTTTGGACAAGAATTTGGATGGAAAAAATATATGATTTGGAATTTAGATGAAGGAAATATGGTTGTTAGAACTTAGAGTGTGAATTTGGTACCTACTATTATTCTTTTAAGCATATAGAGAATTCTAAGAAAGCATTTAAGAATCAAAAAATGAAGTTAAAAAGTTGACTTAAAGAACTATACTTTATATGCAGAAATAGATATATTCTAATTTAGAATAAAAGAGAAAGATTTGTTGGAAGTTAGTATTAAAAATTAGAATTTGTAAGTAAGTTGTTTTTAATAGAGGTTTTGATTTGGGCCATATATTGAGTTTTTGGATGAATTTTTGGCTCAAAATTTCTACAAGTGTAGATGATTATGTTAAAAAGTTGTATATGAAAAATTTATAATATTTGAGCATTGGATTTTTGAGATATGATGGAGTTAATGTACAAGTGTCTAAAAATTGACATGTTTACTATTTGCTAGAAATTAGACAATATTCAAAGATTTGTAATAATATTATAGTTGATTTTTTGTATCAAAGTAGTCAATAATATAAGATAACTTATAGAAAAATTTGAAACCAATAAGATGGTTAAATTGGAAGTTATTGAGTGATACATATATGAAAGGAATTCTTATATGAGTAGAAGTGATTTTAGGATATTTAGTTACATCTTGAGTACTCTTGTGCATCCTAAACTTGTGTACTTGATGTAATTGTGTTTCTTAAAGACAAACTATAAATAATATTTTTTTTTTATAAATTTACAACTTATTTGAGTAATTAATAGTAGCTAGAGGCCTAATGCTTTCCTGAAGCAAATCCTTTGTACTAATTTAACAGTGCCTCAAATGTGATCATCCACTATTGTATTACATATATTTTTACTTGAGAATGCATCAAACACTTATTTGTGGAAGGTAAGTAGAAATATAACAACAATCCTATTAAGTCTAATAGAATCTTAAATAAAATTAAAATAATCTCTAATAATCTTAATCAAACTTTATTCAATTCAAGTAATTTTAAAAGAAGTTACAAAAAAATATATATATATATATATATATATATATATAAAAATTATAAATTAATCTTAAAAAAACATAATAAAAAAATATAAAAATAAGCCTTAAAGAAATAATAATAATCTTCAAAAAATATTATAAATAAAATTTTTAAAAAAAATAACAAAAAATCTTTAAAAAAATATTAAAATAAAAACCTTAAATAAATTCTAATAAAATTCTAGTTTAATCCTAATAAATCTTAAGTAATTTTTAGATCAAAATTTAATTAAATCCTAATAAATATTAATCAAATCCTAGATCAAATCTTAATTAAAATCTTAATTAAAATCTTAATTCGAATCCTAATGAAATCCTAATAAAATCCTTTTTAAAATCCTAATTGAAATCCTAAACAAATCTTAAGTCAAATCCTAAATTCTAGACCAACTCTATTCAAATTATAGTGAAATCTTAAATTCTAATCAAATCCTAAAAAAATCCTAATCAAATCTTAAATCCTAATTTTTAACCAAATCTTAAATCAAATCTAATCAAACCTTAATCAATCCTAATCAAATTTTAGACTCTAAACCAATTCTAATCAATCTTTAATCAAATTCTAATTCTAAAACAAATCCTTAACAAATCCAATAGCAAGTTGAAAATTCAATAATTAATGCTTGAATCGTTGATTTTGACTCAAAATTTTCAAACTTTGTAAAAAATAAGTTAGCAATAAATACAAAAAATTTGAAGAAGATTGCATATATTGAATAAATGATAATCTTTAAACTTCCCTTAGATGTCAACCAACCTCCTTCTTTAATCTTGATGTTGATATTCCAAACCATTATCTCTTAATTTCATTATTCAATTGGTTCAAAACTTTGTATAATTATTGAAAGTCAAGTTAAAATTATTTGAGTAAACTTGTATTTTAATCTAATAGGCAGATTGATAGATAGCTTAGAAATCCTCACTAGTTTTTTAAATCCTAATTTGTTAGACCTGAATCCATGAAACTCTTATACTTTATAAACTAATCACATGATGGATCTCAAACTTCTCATACACATTTATAACAAACATAACAAAAAGCTTCCAAAGTTTCACCTATAAAAATTCTATAAAACTTATAAAACCCTCAAATTTATAAACTTATTTTTATTTCTCAAAATCTAAATCCATTTAATACATCACTAACTTTGCAAATCTCTCAAAATCTCAATATTAATCCAATTAATATGAAACCAACTCTTAAAAATCTTTTTTTAAGTCTGCTCCCTAATCATTCTCTTTGATTTGCAAAAAAACATTGGAATCGCCATAGGTGCATAGTTTTGTGGCTGAGGATTTGATTTTGATCCAAATTGTTAACTGGTCATCTTTGACTTCATTTTTTGGTAATTTGAGGTAATTTTTTCTTAAACGTACTATTAATTCTCTCTTAAAGATGCCTATATTATTTACTTATTTCATTTACTTTGATTTGAGGCATTTATGCCCTTGTAAAGTAAATAGAAGTTTTTTCTATAAAAGGCAGTATTAAGACTAAACTTTTTATTAATTCCTATTATTTATCCTTATTTTCCTACTACATCTTTCTACTAGGCTCTCCTATAATAACATCCATATTTCTATTTTTTATCATATAGTTGTGTTATCACATAATACTATGAAACTTAATGTGTAGCTTTCATAAATGCGAAGGCTTTCATTTAAGATCAAGGCACCTTTATGATGAACCTCATAGCTTCATTGCTCACAGCTAAGACCAAGAATGTGGTTTGTAATGTGATGGCCTTGTTTGTTAGGCTTGTCAATGATATCGCGTCCATTATTGCCCAACATAATTGCAACAACAATGCAAATAATGAAGATATTTTGAAAGTCCTATCCTACAATTTGTGTGCATTACAGATGTTTATGCTATGCATTTCTATCCGTTGCCTTAGTCGCAATTGGAATTGATTAGATAGGATGCTCAATCCATCATAGATATTGAGATTGAACATCAAGCCTTAGTGCATGCCTATTATGAGGAGATGACTTTCAAGAATACTATTAACAAGTGTTCCAATTTGCAAATAAAATTTCATGTTGGATGGACTCCAATGTAGTGATTGGTTTTCACAACTTCAAAAAAATTATTGCATGCTAACTTCCATTTTTCTTAACACAAGCACTATTGAATTCGACTTCTTCGTGATCAAGTTGGAAAAGGATAAATATCAGCAGTACATCATAAACTTCTTACTTGAGAGTATCTTGAATTCTAAACAATTTGATAGAATTTGTCAAATTTGAAAAAGATGGATGTTTTTGGATAATTTTATGGATGAATTTCATCTATTTCCTATTTTACTTGAAACCTAATCACGACCTTGAATAAGCTAAATTAGGTATTTTTGGAAAAGCCTTAGTTTAAAGAGACCTTGGTATGTGTGCTATTATCAATAATATGGAGGTATTCTTGTTATTTCAGAAAATTTCAGAGATACTTTTGAAATTTTCCCTATAGGTAATTGCTTTCTCATCCACACAACTCATGCAATGAATCTAATTATTTCCTACACATGGATTTCAATTGCCGTCAAAACCCGATGAAAACATTATTCGTAACTCCAACGTCAAGCCAAAATGCAATAAGTCAACCTAAGCGAAGTTCATCCTTCAATTCCACATCAGCATCCACGTGCGCACTTGCATGAGGTGCGGGAGGTTTTCCTGACAGCTCGCTGCCCAAGTGAAATGCATTAAGCACCTCCGCGCCAGCGGGGAACGCTAACTCTAATGTCGCCGCCTGTATGTCAGTGCCAAGTGTCAAAATACGGCACCGATGAATTCTGCATTAGCAGATTTGCAGAAGCTCATCTGCGAAACTCATTGTCCAGTCACAGCCTGATGACCTGCTGACGTGGAAAAGCATCAAGGCGGACCCGATTGGATAGGAGATCTGCCTATCTCCAGGTGTGTAAAGCAACAGAACCAACAGCGACACCTGTACCTGTAGTAAGGCTTACGTGGAGGCTAAATAACACGTGGCATTAACAAGAGAATAGCCCTACTGGAAAGAGCTGCGGTCCCACCCCTTGAGTTCGGGAGAGAGAATTAGTGATGATCTCTTCACCTGAGTGAATTCCTTGACAAACTACCATCTCTTAACATTGATAGTCTCCTTTACAAGAATACTTTTTCAGGAGTGCACCATGTTGGGCAGAAGAAAAGTTTGAAATGTGGGGACATGCAGCACTAGTTGCAGATTAGTGGAGGAAGTGACTACGAGTGAGACGGCAATGGGCCAGCAATAATATGAATCATGGGGGCTCGGAAATACGTGGAGCTGTACATTATTGGATGGATTATAGAGATTGACAGAACATCCAAGCGCGAATGAATAATGGAACAAGTGTCCATTTCGGGGAGGGGGGGGGGGGAACAAAGATCGAACCGGACCTTGATCGGACCGGACCGCCCCTTCGTAAGCGAGACTCGTCTGGGAGGAATGTTCATTCTCGCCGCCGTTGGGATGGGGAAATGGGGGGGATGAACGATGGGAGTTCTTGGATGGACGAAAACTGAACGAGGCTCTCATGCCTGTGACGAACACGGACGAAGAAGCGAAGCCAGTGTTGGCGCCCTTATCTTGGCTTCCCGCTGTATCGCATCGAAACTCTTGGCTCCGCGGCGTTCGATTGAAGCACTCTTCGGAGTGACATCGTCAATGGGGACGAAGCCAGATTCGCAGCTGGTTTCTTCCGGATCCGACTCGCCTTCTTTGTGATTCCTGATTGTTTGACCGCCCGTGGAAGGTGCTCTCTCGCACGCATGTCGTGTTTTAAGCTGTGTTGTACTCAGTCTTCCTCGAGTTCCGACCTTCATACTTTTAGTGCCATCCACGTGACTCTCATTCTGGCTCGTCTCGAATGTTACCTCTGGTAGCGTCACTGCAGAGTACCATGTGATGTTCAAGTACTGGGTCTTCTTTTGGAAACCAGCATTCTATCTTGTTCTGCTGGTTAGATTGAGTTAAGGTTTGTATTTGTTTTTGGGATTTTTTTATTTAATTTTTTTAATTTTTTTTATCGAGGTTACATACTCTTTAGTGTTAGTAAGGGATAGAAAGAGAGGGCGTCGAGATCTCTGCAGCGAGCGAGCCGGATCCTTTAGGTTGTTGCCGATTTTGTTTTATGTAATTTCCATTACTGCCACAGTTCGTTATTTTACATGGTGTGCTAATTTGTCAATTCTTTGACTTCCCTCTTGTGAGCTTCAGGAGTTACTAAGGGAGAGAGCTCATTCTCATGAAAACGTTATCGAAGTCGGTTTGAACTGATAACCTCGATCTTTGACCTTGGCGGTTCATTGTTTTCAAGATGCCACGAGGCTCTGCGTGATGCAGGTGCATCATGAGCATTTTTGATTTTTACGGAGGGCCTCTATAAGCGGAAACGGGGAGAGCCCCACTTACATTTACTGAAGTTGCATCTTGAAGAGTTCTAGGTCTTCAATTAAGCAGCTGAAGTGTCTCCATTAATCTTCGCCGGCCTCGGTTATATCTTTTGCTCAATTCTGCCTCCATTCCCGGCTAATCATTGAAATGTGATGTTTTGCCGATGTTATGGGGTGTCGCTTGGAACAATCAGAAGCATGAGATTCGAGAGCTAGAATTTTTCTTCTCTGCAAATTGTGCGGCTTTGCAAAGAGACTCACAATTGTTTCTTCAGGAAACTCTACCTGTGTTGCTTGGCCGGTTGATTGAATCTGAGCATGTGGTCGTCAGCTCCTGCGCTTCTTGAGTTGGTTGAGTAAATTTCGTGAGTCCTGTAGAGACTTGTGGCGAGTTGCTGTGTCATCATAAGCAGACATTTGCGGCTATGGCGGTTAATTTGATATCCGCCAACCTTTCCAAGAAGTCTTGTGACTTTCCGCAGGGATGCACTTCTCCCCGCGAAACTTCCAACTGTTTCAGAAAAACATCAGCCTTTGGAAGTCCTTCACTTTCTGGAAAACACAGAAATTCGCAGTGGGAAGGATTCGAAGTTATTCTACAGGGTTTACGGTCTTCACACTCTTTGAAGAAACTTGAAAGAAAACAACCCTTGTTACGGAGTAGCTACACGGGATATGGCAGTCTAGTGCAGGACTTTGGGACAGCCATTGCTAGACAGTCTGAGCTAGAGACGGAACAGGGAAACCCAGGGAGGGGGGGATCAGGTTCTCTAGGTGAGAATTCTTGCACCGTCTCTTCACCCAGAATTAGGGTTTTTCATAGTGGTACAATTCTGAGGAATCCCAAGTCGTTTTCTGGGTTCTGGAAGAATAGAAAGCAATTTCGCGTTGCTCCAATTTGCGGTGTTGATAGTGGAGTTGCTTCGGAGGTTATCCTTGAGGTTCCCTCTACCAACTTACCCTCGCATACTCCTGGTTCAGTTATACTACAATCGGCCAGCTACATTGAATCTTTAGCGTTGCCAGTGACAGAGCAACGTAACAAAAGCTCCAAGGCAATCCAAACTTCAAACCCTGTGAAGAAGCCCGTTCCAGATTCGGAAGATCTGACCGAGGTGAATTCCTCCCGGCCAGGACAATTAGTTGAATGCTTTCAAGTTGAAGGCGGAAGAATACTTTCTGGAGACGTGCAAATTTCTGGGGCGAAAAACTCCGCTTTGGCTGTGCTTGCTGGTGCTATTTGCTCCGAAGGGCAAGTTCATTTGGAGATGATTCCTGACCTCCACGACATTCGCCGCATGTTTCAAGTCTTGATGTCTGTAGGGGTCAATGTTAAGAGAACTTCTACTGGATTCATGATCGATGCAAGGCATTTGACATCGGTAGAGCCATGTCCGGAGACCGTGCGAAAGCTAAGGGCTAGTTTCTTTGTGATTGGTTCCCTCCTTGGTCGGAAGGGAGAGGCCATTGTTCCACTGCCTGGGGGTTGTAACATTGGTGCACGTCCTATCGATCTCCACGTTCGAGGTTTGGAAGCTCTCGGTGCCGAGGTTGAGATTAGGTATATAGCACTTCCTCTGCTTTGTCATATAACATTGGAGATGTAAGGAGATATAGAATGGCACATTCCACCTGTGTGGATCCCTCACAGGCTTGTGTATATTTTTGCAGGCAAGGCAAAGTCTTCGCTCGGGCACACAATGGCAAAAACCTCACCGGTGGCAGTTTCTGTCTAGATTATCCCAGTGTAGGCGCTACGGAGACGCTCATGATGGCTGCTGCACTCGCAGACGGCTACACCACCTTATCTAATGTCGCTCAGGTACTCTTTCTTTGATCTTGATTATGCATGTCTCACTGTTGATGTTTTCTTGTGTCTCACGGCCGACCTTGCCGAAAGCACATTTCAATATGTGCAAGCACTTCTATTTGTTTGGTTCTTGAACAGCCGTTCAAATTATGCACATAAAATCTTCTTTATCACTTGGTTAACATGAAGTCTATTCTCAAGTAATGTTTTACGTGCAGGTAATGCAGTGCTCTGTTTAGATGCTAATTTGAGGACTTGAAAATCTGCATTACTTTTTGCCTTAGAGATAGAATGGACAGCGTGATGATTCTCATGTGATTCCTTTGGTGGTATAAGGACAAGCATTTTATACCGATGCTGGAGTTAATGCTGTGATGAAAATTATGTAGGTCCTCTTTAACGAAGGTCAATCAATTATAACAACAAGAAGATCAAATGAGTTTTAGAAACCTTGTATGGGTCATGCCTAAAAGTCTCACCTCTCACTCTATTAATGCGGTAAAAATCGACATTTCAATTTTGTTATAGGTGAACCTAAACGAAGTTAATTTGTAGCGGAGTATACATTATCAGAGATTCATAGCGTAAATTCTCAAGTTTTGAGAGTCTGGGTTGTTTTACAGAAAATTACAGATTTGAGTAGAAGATCTAGTATTATTTGGGGTCTCTAAGAGATTTGGATACCACCCGAACTTGTGGAATGTGATTCTAAAGGAGTGAAATAGAAAACCTTAACAATCCTCGAGAGTGCCAAAGTTTTTTCTTGTGTATTGTCCATCCCTCTTATACTCTCTCTATTCCTCGTTTTAAGAAGAAATAGATTGCGTCATGTCTGCCCCCATCTTAGTTCATTGGCAACATAGATCTTAGTGTGAGGAAGCTCAATCTATCGTTGTCTTACACTTACAGCATTTGTGGAGTGCAGGAACCAGAAGTAGTAGACCTTGCGAATTTTTTGATATCATGCGGGGCATGTATACAAGGAGCTGGAACCAGCACTTTGAGTATTAAAGGATCACGTAAACTTCACGGTACAGAGTACCGAGTCATACCCGATCGGATTGAAGCTGGAACCTTCTTAATAGCTGCCGCAATTACTCGATCTTCAATTTCCGTGAATTCGGTCATTCCCAAACATTTGACATCAGTGATGGAGAAACTTCTCACAATTGGTTGCCGAATTCAACAAACGCGGTCGGATTCACTTCATGTACGTCTCAACAATCAACTTGTGTATTTTGCTTTGTGTGTTACTCTGGATTCTCTCAGTGAAGTGGCCTTCCGAAGGTCAATTGTTGTTTCAATCTTTTAAGAAGGTCAATTGTAGAAACTGTTGAGTTGAGTTTGAAATACGTCGGATTAATTACGTTCGTGTATGTACTTCTCAATACTTGCGAAATTTGTATCTGCAGATAGATTGTACTGAGATGCTTAGAAGCTGCAACGTGAAGACTCTTCCATATCCAGGCTTCCCTACTGATTTGCAACCGCAGCTGATGTCCCTTCTAACTACTTGCTCTGGGCAAAGTCTTTTAGAGGAGACAGTTTTTGAAGGTCGCATGCGTCATGGTATGTGCTACTTTCTGGTATTATGTCGAATTCAGCTTGCTTTTGTTTTCCTCGTGCTTCATTAGTGTTATTCCTTTACATATTGTGTCTGATTAATCAGCGGAGGAGCTACAGAAACTTGGAGCCGACCTGAAAGTGAGTGGTAACATTGCTATCATCAATGGCCAAGGCGTGGGCAGGTAGGTTGAAACAGCATACTACTCTCTAATGTGTCTTTACTATTTCTTACTCGTAGATCTTAGCAGGAGCTTGTCTGCAAACGTCTTCACCATCACCATGTGTGATCGTACCAAAAAATGAACATGAATCACTTCGAAATCTCGGTCGTGGTTGGTATTTCGTTCATGTACTGTTACATGAAAAATGTATCCTTTTTGTTCTTACATTTACAATTATGCAATTGCAGCTCGCTGTATGGAGCACCTGTCTTGGCAACTGACTTGAGGGCAGGAGCAGCTCTAGTCTTGGCTGGAATGTCAGCTGATGGAACCACACACATACAGGGAGTCGGACATATTGATCGCGGATATGAGAAGCTTGATAAAAAATTTCGGCTATTAGGTGCTTCCATACAAAGGATACGTTGCCTTCCCGCGGAGCTGACGCTGTAATACATTAGTGGTGTAAACGTAAACTTATTATTTTGTGCAACTCAACAACCAACCTTGTGGAGGATAGTTGGAAGTCCCTAAAGATGGGCAAGGTCTCTTTCGACAGGTGACGTTCGAGTTCTTCGGTTGGAGGATTGCCGTTTGGCTTTAAGCATTCGACATCTTGTAAACTGGTTTGGTAATTTCATAGATCGTCAATTGGAGTTCAGCGATTCATTTTTCATTTTTGGATCGCACACCCAGATCTTGTGATGGTATACTTCAGCTCTGGCTCAATTTATGCTTTTGAATCATTCTTCATTGTTTGTACAGAACCAATCTGCACCTTGGGATTTCTCCGACATTAGTGTTGAACCTGCCTTAATGGTGCGAAAGGATTACGTTTCGTGTGTTGATGTCATCTGATTAGTTGAACATCAGAAACTGAACACATTTTTGTATTGAGTGACATTCTGGAGATTGCCGAAAGGCTCCTTTGTTAGAAAGTAGGTAGTGCGTAAAAGGTTTTGAAATGCAGAATAGTTCTCTGATAGATGATGTTTTGTGGTCTCTCTGATGTGCTGTAACATTGTACTATTATATCCTGGTGGTGAATATTTCATCTTCAGGAAGAGTATTGTATGGATTAGTGGTTTTAATGCGCTTCTTAGCAACCAGTTCGTTTTGTTTCAATGATTATGCACAGGCTACCAAGGGTTAATATTAAGTTTCTGATCTTTAGAATAAGAACGTTTTGTCTCCTCGCATTTTATTTGGTAGACAACTGTCAGCTTTTGACTTGGTCCATTAGCTGCTTTCCTTATGGGACGAATCCAGTTCCAATTCTTGTCGTGATTAGTCTCTTTATTATTGATTAAATTCTCTCCATATTTATGGCAACTGATAGAGGTTTGTGAAACGTAATGTACGAACCATCAATAAACACAAGAATGACAGGTTCTTGTGTCTTGGATACGTTGATGGAATTTAACTTGACATATAGACGAGAAACCCCCAGTGACATGGGGAATGAGCTGATCCTCTTCCCTTTGAACGGCGGAAACCATGGCTCCATGTCAGACTTGCAGCACAATCCAAACTTCTCTAGCGTGATCTCTGGTGTGAGCGTAAACATCACGACTTGTAACCATCACGATGCGAAGGGTATATCTATTGTTTGTCATTTCAACATTGTCAAGTTGTAGCAGGTCTTGTAGCAGTTCTCTTTGACGAGTCCAAGGTGACACTGGTGCAGCTAGTTATACATTACTTGGAGTTATCAGAGCATTGCCATGATTTTTCTACGTGCAATTGGATTCCTTTTTGTTCTTTCCTGATACTGGTTGGCATCGTCCTGGAGTTTGATTCATACAGGTTGCAGTTCGACGGTGGGCTTTTGTACCGTTCTTCCTTCGTGGTTTAGTGATTAGTTTTATTCTTCTTACGCTGGTGGCGGTACAGTGGAAGCGTGGTTCCTTACTGTTCTTTCCTGAGCTGCTGGATCTTCTCTTGTCGACGGTTCCTTGCTCGCTTATCTTTCGAGCGGACTCGTCGAGGTTGGCATTGGTTCATCCATCTGGCTGCTGAGTCGTTCGAGCTTCTTTTCTGCGTTTTTTACGACTGTTCGTGTTGTTCTACAAAGCTGCGAGTGTCGTCGCTTGCTCTTCGTTTTTTCCTTGCTTGTGTTTGGTGCTAGTTTTTTGTACAGCGCGGTTCCGATTCTTGCGGCAGTACGGTGGTGGTCGACTACTCCTGGGTTCCTTCGCTTGTCGGTTCCCCTTCGTAGGGTGCAGCGCTGCTAGCCATCATCGCCTTCGACTCTGTTGCGGTTCCCAGTGCAGTACTACTTCCGATTTGTGCTCAGATTCCATCTCCCAAGCTAGCTTTGCTGCTCTTACTCCTTTTCCACCTGATCGAGCAGTGACCCTTGCTGCTGAATTTGCGGCCGAAGCAATTGATACAACTGAACTTTGCTGTCGACGGGGCGTTTTTCCTGACTTCTCTTCCTGGTGCTCTGCATCAACAACATTGTTGTAGTTGGTTATCAATCAGCGCAGGCATTGCTCTTAGAACCATTGTTGTTTTTGCCGTTAATTGGAGTGTCTCCTGCTCTCGCTGCCTTATCGCCGCCCTTCTTTGCTGTCCAGAGGTGCTAGCCGCTATTCTTGTGTTCTTGTTGTCTACTTCCGCTCAGGAAGCTGGAATTACCCTCTTCGATCAGGTTCTACCTAGTCATTATTTTTGGTATCCCTTCGTGACCAGTCTTGAATTTCATATCTCTTGGTGCATCACCAGCTCCAATTAAGCTGGTGTTGAGGATGCTGCATGGTGTTTTTCCTTGATACTGTAATCGTTGTATGGAACTTCGGTGTTGTTTTAACACTATTTGTTTGATCCCTTCTATCTCCCGTTGATTGGAAGACCGTAAGCTCGGAAGGGCCATCTCTGCTCGCAGCAACGCCATGTCGGTGGCTTTTGTTGGTGGCGGAGTCTGTGCTTGACTATAGGTCGTTGACATCAGTGTGAAACCGGTAGCTAGCGTGGTGACATAGTCCCAAGGTCCTGGCGTGTTATACGGAGACTAGTTGTCGTGCGGGGCAGTAGTTGGTGCTTCAGGAGCCTGAGCACGAACTGCCACGGGGTGGTCAATCCCGAAGTCGAAGGGTGATCGTCCACATCGTCAAGTGGGCATTCATCAAAATTCAGGAGTGCTGCGACAGTCGGTGGAGAGAGTGGAAGTGATCACATTCTTCAGATGTCTCTCAATCATACCCTTAATGTGGTGGTCGACTCAACTTCGTGGCGTTAAGTAGCGTGCAGGAGGCAATTTAGCACGGTTGTGTAGGTGTTTCTTAGCACTGTGGTGTTTGCAATTAGCTGACAGAACGGCAGTTGGATCTGGTGGATATCAATGCCGCAGTTAGGAGTCTGAGGCTCGTGGAATTGAAGTTCACATAGTGCTGGCCCTTGCAGCGGCGTCAAGCAGAAGATCACGACATTGTTAATCTCTTATTACCGACTCCTTCCAGTGCGACACTTGGGAGAATTGTGTCGTCACCTATCGAGGCCAGAGAGCAGATCGGGTTGGTTGTTTTCCATTTGGAGCGGATTGAGGCAAGGGCAGTGGCAGTGAAAGGCTCTTCTTTTGACGTCACTTACAGTTTGAGATTATGATTTTAAATTATGTTAAAGTTTTAGACTGAAGTTAGGTTATTAAAATATGTAAAGAAATTAAGTGCTAGTTTAAAGATTATTAAAATTGATAATTTTTCTTTAGAATCATTGAATCAATTTATAGGAAATTATATTGTTTTTGGGACAATGTGGATCAAAGAATGCTTGATAAATATTCTTGAAATACCAATCAAATATAATATGTATGTTTTTCCAAGTGAAGCAAAGGTGAAATTGGAAATTTTATTTATTAATTCATCATGGGATATCTCTTAGACTTATTAAAGCAATATGTATTCATGGTTTGTAGCTATTTACACAAGCTTTTCATGCTAAGATCTTCAAAAGCGATGTAGCAGTGTAACAAAATATCAAACATGCTACGTACTCGTGGAGATATTTGGGAAAGATCAGAAGCTTATATTGGAGCAGTTAAGGTTTTATTGAAGGAAAAAAAAAAAATGGTGAACAAGAACCAATGTGTTAATTTGTGCAAGAAGATTGAACATATGACAAAGGTTTTCAATCACTTAATCAATTGCTTCAATGATGGAATGGAGTTTGAACTTTTATTAAGTGAGTTACTTTTTATATTAAATAAATCTTATCTTCAAGTAGAAAAATGTGGAAAACCAAATTGGTACAAAGAAGCTATTGTCTAATTGAATAATAACAAGACTATTAGAGAATTACTTTCATATTTAAAATGTTGCTTTGATATAGCAAGTAAAAAGCTTTTAAAGCATTATCCTAAAAAAGTTGAAGACAACATCTATTCTACTATTAATGTTGCAACATATTGTGAAGTAGAAGAAGATGTTATATTATTAATGGAGAGGTTGATCCATGCATATGAGATAAAAGTCTTTGAGTACTATAGATTAATTAACCATCTATTACAAATGTTGGAAGACTTGAATTACAGAGACATTAAAGATTTGGATGTTTTCAATCTAACATCAAATATGAAAAGTCTTGATATTATAAAAAGAGAACATAAATCAACTTAAGAAGTTTACAAATCAAAGTGGTTGGATCTTTCATGTGTGATTAAAAAGAAGGATGTCACATATATTAAAATGTTCAAAAAAGAAGTGAGCATTTCAAAAAGTTTAAATTATTTAAATTTAATAACATATTATTTTGTAATTACAGGAAGTGCCAATGGAAGTATTGAATCTTTTGGAATAAAAGAGAAAAAAGAACATTTGTATATTGAAATGGAATTGATGCAAAAGAATTTGAACAGTATATTGGTAGAAAAAAAGAGATGTCTGATATATTTTTTTACTAATATTATACTTCAAATTGTAAAAATGATGTATTACTTGTATGACATGTATATTGTACTTGGTGATCTAAAGCTTGACAATATCTTGGTTAATGTTATAGAAATAAAAATTCTAAATAAGATTAAATGACATGCTATTGTGAAAGTAATTGATTTTGGAATTTCTAAGATTGAAGTTGGAAGCATTCTAGAAACTATAAAAATACCTTATAGTACTATTGCATATATGGCTCCTAAGATTTTAATAATTAAATCTCAAATAATATCAATGTATTATTTTAAAGCAAATATTTATTCATTTATAATAGTATTTTGTAAAATTCTTTCAAAACAAGATCTATTGCATAGTATTTATACCATGGATAAGATATTAGAAAGAATGAAAAAGGACATGCCAAAGTTACCTTGAAGTTGTCTTGACTTGAGTAATCTTATTTTAAAACATTAGAAGCTGAATCCTTTGTATTAATCAAAGTTAGCAAATATTTGTGAAAGATTAAGCTTATTGAAGAAAATATTTTTAGTTAGTATTGTTGTAACATATGCTCAATATTTTAAATCAACAAAATAAAATTATCATCAAAATATAGAATTTTATCAAAGATTTAGAGTGCCATTGATAAGTCATATACCAAAAATTATAATAAGTATGCATTGAATTAAATATAATGATTGTATTTTATATTTTTACACACCTTATTGTACAATAGTAATGGTTAGATGTCATGTTATGAATTTAAGTTAATAAGACTAGATTGAAATATAGTATATGCATGATTCTAGTTCATTTGTTTATTTGTGGTTGAATTTTTAATTATAGGTTGATTTACTTGAAGAAGAAATATTTGATAGAATACAATATTTATGACATATAAAGAAAAATTTATATAGAAAGTCAAGGTAATACATCTTGTTGGAATGGATGGAATAGACAAGACTACAATAGGAAAGGTCACATTAAATGATGTGAAGCACATATACCAAGTCTTATACTTTGTTGAATACATTAAAAGTGGTGGTAGTTTCTTAATAACTTCTTATAATATTTTAAAATAATTTAATGTCCAATTAAAATCAAAGGATACAAAAGAATTTCAAAAAAAATGTTGAAATCATTCTTGATGGAGAATAAAACCTTCTTGGTCTTTGATAATAAGAAGAATTAGAGTCAAATTGAAAATATTGTATCTATAGATTATATATTTGCAAGTAAAGGTAGCACATTGAT